TGATGGGGAATTAAACTTTTCAACCGCACGGGATTATACTAACACTAAAAAAAATAACCTCACGTTAATGTGCCCATCTACATGAAACAACAGAAGTGATTATTCCTGTGTAACGTAATCTGTTTTTCTTTTAAAGCAGAGATACATTTGTATTTTGATTAAGATTACAGCACATCCTCCCTGCACTTACAGAATGGGCTGGCCAACAATGTATTTTCTGTAAGGTCATATCTGAAAGAGACTGCTTTAAAAACAACATTTGACAGTCACCATCTGTCAGCAAAAAGATCACCCTAAAATTTCTAACATCCTAATGTGCCCTGAACATTCTTTATGAGAGAACAAGAGTGTACCTTTCAGTATTTCATATCACAAAAGAAAGAAATCCCTGACACTTTAAAGCAAATTGGGTTAAAAATAAACTAAATTATTAATTAAGTTGACTTTGTAGCTTCAAGCAACTTTTTTGTGGGGTTGGAAATATCAGAAGATACTGAAACCAAAGCTACCTTAACCTTCCTATGATGACAAATTTGCCTGCAACAATTGTATTATTCGCTGTGACTCAGCACTATGCAAGGCGTGTGCAAACCCATAAAATAAGAGTAAGTCAAAATTCTACTGATTTCATACTAACTTTGGACATCAGCAACCAAAAGAGTCACATAACACTGATGCATCAGCCACAGCAAGAAAAAACCCACGGGCACCTGAAAGTTTGGTTATGCTCATTTTTCCTCCACAGTACCCCTCCTACCAAAAGCTCTTAAATCCAACACACAGCTCAGAGAGACACGTCTTCTCCTTTCTGATCACTTCTCAATACAAAAAAAACCAGTAGAACAGGAACACATAGGTCAGTTGAAGAAGGCATCATGTAGAAGCTCTGCAAGGAATCCCTGTATCTTTTAAGAGGCAATCTGACCCTACTTCAGACAAACCCCACAACAATCTAATATTAATCACAACACTACTATCTCACTTTACTTACAGGTACATTGTGGTTTCAGCGTCACCAATAGCTGGCTTGTTTGCCAAAATGACATTTTCATAATTCAAAAGGTGAATTTGCTTTCAAGTATAACCAGAGCACTAAATTTGTTAGTCTTGCAATGCGTTGTTTGGAGATAAATATATTCAGAATGTTTAGTCATAGGTTATTTCTTTTATGGTTCTAGAATTGACATATCACTTACATTTAAACTCAACTTTATATAAAATAAAGCATCTCGCAGTTAGCTTCTCACAGAACACATGAATCCTCCTGCTGAGCCTGACAAGCAGTCTGAACTACCAAATAAAAATGGAAAAAGAGGAAATAATTACTCTGGATGATAAGGAAAGCTGTCAGCAGTCGTATTTCTTTCAGTTCCCATGCTTTTAGCTTCTGCCTCCTCATGACACAAAGCATTAATTATGTTTCAAGAAAGTACTCGCATTATCCCAATTCAAAATTTCTTCTATGTCACTGAACTCCATTTACTCCTGTCTTACATGAATGGACCAACAGAAGTCACTCCACGATGTCCAGTCTACCATCACTCTCTAACACTTTTTCATACCCTTCTACTACCACCATCCTTTATAAACCAGCTCTGGGGAAAGGAAATTTACTGTCCCCTGTCTTAGACTGCCTCTATTTTTTATCCTCAAAATGAATTATTAAGCCTGTACGAGGTCTAATGCAGCTCAAGATACTCATGAGGTGGCATAAAATAATTTCCAGTCCTACCATTCTACAGATTTTATATTTAACAGAGATTTCCACTGAATGTTTAGTTTAAACTTACCTTTGATTCTGTTTTTCCAGAATCACTCTACCTTCTCCAATGTAACTTAAAAGTACTGATATTTCTAAAGGCTTTGCATTCTATTGTTGGCATTTTGTATCTTAAAAACTCTGCATTCATTCCTGGAAATAACATTGGGCAGTTTAATCCACTTACTTGCTTGACAGACTTTAAAAACTGTAACATACTAGATTTCTTTTCCTCTGGAGTGGAAAAAGGTTGCCTTGGGATCATAATGCTGCCCCTTTGCTCTGCAATTTACATCAGCATTTTTTTCATCACTATTATTATATTATTTAAACAAGTACTTTCATTATGCTTTAGGCCCTTGGTATGAAGCTGAATAATTTTCTTATCAGTTCAGCTTCCACTCATGTCCTCTGAAAAAGGGGTGACCTGCTCTTTCTAACTTACTGTTTGTGTATTACATCATTCCAGAACCTCCTGTTCAGATATTTCAGCCACTCAGAGTATTTCATCAAGTGAGTAATTCTTTTAATATCTTTTATTTTTCTTGACTTGCTCATGGCCTACTAGGCTCACTCACTATTCCCTCTGGCCTTCAGAAGTACTTAAGCAAATACAATAAATTAGCTATTTGCTGCTGTTCTTCTATTTCTCTTATGCTTCAAATCCCTAACCCTAAATCACATCATTTTTTTTTTAATCTGCCATATGCTTTTTTGCATAAACCTGATTTTAGTTTTTTTAGGAGGGCACTTTTTTACACCCAGTAACCTCTTGCCACTAAGTTAAATTTTCCAATGTAGCAAGTTGGTTATTATTGCCCTAACAAGTAAACTTCTATCTTTAAGAACACAAAAGCAAAGTGAAATCCTCCATTTTTCCCCTGGAGAACTTGTAAAACACTTTAGAACAAAAAATTCCCCAACCTTATGGAGGGACAAACAGAAAGAAATCAAAGCAAGCCTGTCAGATACAGGACAGTAAGACAAAACGTACCATTCTGTTCACTTTAGCTTATTCACACAGAAGGGGAAGACACAAAAAAAAGAAAGAAAAGATCACTGTATTGAAACACTGAAGTTGAAATAAAACCATCAGATAACCCGCTTAAATAAACATTTACACTTAGAAGTCTCTATAAAGAACCTTTCAGAAACTGCTACAACTGCCTGTAGTACTTTCAGTTCTCACAGTGACTTTGGTAAGTGCTGCTGACACGGGCTGTTGCTGCCTTCCCCTTTCTAAATGGACTAAACTGTGACTTCTCCAGGAACCAGCACTCGGCTGAATATACACAGCACCACACCGGCAAGCCAGCTCTGAAGTCATCGACACAGAGAACGTAACATCGGAAAAAATCAACATATGGCACTCTGACAGCAAAAGTCAAACACCCTGGTGCAGTGTTAGAATGAGAGATGCGATGTAACAAAGACTCTGTTTAGAAGTTGGGGGCCAGTGGTGGACGCCAAGCCCCCAAAATAGCCACATTTCTCAGAAGGGGAAGCACTTCTCAGGAGTGAAGCATCACTGCATATGTTTAAAAGATTGTGACAAGAGAACCCACTCTGAGAAAAACCTCTGCCTCGCATGTCATCTTAAGTTACCATGCCTCGAGCTACGACTCATTTCCCCTGTGCCTGTGGCTATGTCTAAAGCATAATTAAAAGGTGCAACTAAAGCTCAAGCAGAAATTTTAAACCCTGTTTTGAGCCAGTTCACATGTCTGTGCAGGTGGTAATGCTGAAGGGAGAACACAGTGAAGTTACAATAAAAAACAAGGACAAATACAAAGATTAGCTTGATTCAACATATTAATTTACACTCTATTTACAATCTACTAATTAACTATTCTATTCTAGCTACTAATTGCTAGAGGTATATACAAAGTAGCTTTAAAATAACTAGTTTCTAGGGATAAAGTTAAAATCCCATTTTCTGAGAGCTCATAGACATATCCCAACTTTATTGAGTCTTTCATTAACATCAACCAGTCAGAGCAGAAAATACGCCTGCAAACAAAAAAATCCAGAAGAACAGCAGCTTGAATAAAGGATAAAGGGACCATTAAACACAACCATTCAGCACCATTTGGGAATTCTGCAGAAACAGCAGCCCAGTATTTTCACAGCTCATGACGTATCTTTTCAGCCCGGAGTTTCAGTTTTCATGAAACGCCCTCAAGAGGCAAAGCTTAAAATCATCGGTCCATGTGCCGCGGTACGGGCAACGCAGACTCGGGGACTATGAATGGGACGAGTTTCTGCCGGATACAAAGTCTCTAGAACAGGGCAAGTGGAAACGGCCACCGAGCGCAAACCCTTCATCCTATGCAGGGAGTCAGAGAGAGAACGCTGTGGGTGGGACAGTGTGAGGATACGAAGCGATGTTTGCAGAGAGAAGGCAGAGCTTTAGTAAAATCAACTAACATCACTGGCGGGGTGGATGGGGGGAGGGGAGGGGAAAGCTTGGAAGATCCGGGAGAAAGTTTCCCTCCCCCTCCACAGAATCACAAAATCAATCAGGTTGGAAAAGACCTCTCAGATCATCCAGTTCAACCTATGACCGAACACCACCATGTCAACCAGACCACGGCACTGAGCAGCACTTGCAGTCTTTCCTTAAACACCTCCATTCCACCACCTTCCTGGGCAGTCCATTCCAATGCTTAACCACCCTTTCCCTGAAGAAATTCCCCCTAATGCCCAACCCAAACATCTCCTGGCGCAGCTTAAGGCTATGTCCCCTCGTCCAGCTGAGGCTCTGCCTCTCCTCACACCCCGTCCCGCAGCAGTCCCCGACTCCTGCAGGCAATCCCGGCGACTTCCAAAGCCGGCGCGCGGCCACGCCACCGCGACAAGCGCAGGGAGCCCTTCCGGCCGCGCGGGGGTTCTCCCCGGGCAGGACGGTCCCGTCTCTCCCTGCACCCCCCGCGCGGTCCCATCCCGATCCCGATCCCGGCCCACGCGCGCGCCGCTCCCGCCGAGCCGGCGGCGGCCCCGCCCCGCCCCGCGCGCGGCCCCCGCGCGCCTGTTGCGCGCGCGCGTGCCGGGGACGGGGGGGCTCCCTCGGCGCGCGGCACCCGCGGCACGGACCCCCGGCCCGCCGAGCCCGGCCCGGGCCGCCCCACAGCCCATCCACACCCGCGCCCTCCGCCCTGCCGGCCCGGCCCCGCGCGCCGCCCGCCCGCCGCCGCTCCCGCCCCGCCGGCCCCGCCGCGAGGGGCCCCGCCGCCCTCCGCACCTGCCGCGGCCCCGCCGGCCCCGCGCTGTCTCCTCTCGGGCCCGAGGCGCGCGAGCGCCGCTCCCTCCCCGCCGCCCTCCTTCCCTCCCTGCCTGCCCGGCGCTGGCTGGCCGCCGCACTGCGCCCGCGCGCGGAGCGCCGCGGCGCCCTCTGGGAGGGGGAGCCCTTCCGGCGAGCCCGGCCGGCCGGCCGGCGGCGCCCTCATCAGGGACGGCGCGGCTCCGGCGGGGAACACTACAACTCCCGGCATGCATCGCCCGCACCCCGCGCTGGCCGGGGCGCCGCTCTCTCCGCGGGCCGTCCTGGGGGCTGTAGTTCAGCGGGCGGCAGCGCCGCGCCCGGGAGGGTCTGGGGACGGGGAGGAGGAGCCGCTTCGCTCCCTCCCCGCCTGAGGGGCGGCGGTGGCGGCCGTCAGGAGGGCGGGTCACGGGCCCGGGCACGGAGGGGATGGCGGTAGGCGCAGTGGCGCAGCAGCCGCTAAAGGCAGGGAGGTGTTAGGCCGTAACCCGCCGTCCGCCAGCGCCGCCACCAGGGAGCTTCGCACCGGGAGGCGGTGAAAGCGGCAGGGATGCCCCAGGGGCTGTTGCAGCTAGGGTAATGCAGCCGGCTGATATTTCCACCGGAGCTAATGCAGGTTCCGTAGCCGTGGCCTCGGTGTCACCGCAGAGCGCGTCACTGCGGGCGCGGAGAACAGCGGGGCCATTTCGCGGTGCCACGGGCGGTCCCGCGGCAGCGACAGACGGGGACAGTGACAGGGACAGACACGGGGACAGTGACAGGGACAGACACAGCCGTGGCCGCTGACCGCAGAGACGGCACGGAAAGCCACGATAGGCTGCCAGTCAGGCACGGAGTGCGATGCGATAGCCACATAACATTGGACTGCGCGGCACAAGCCGGCCCGCACACGCACAGAGGAGAACGGAATGCAGGAGGGGGAGCCCAAGCAGCGCCCTGCCGGGCCATCCCAGGAGCCATCAGCCCACCAAAGGCCCATCTCGAGGGTGGGCAGGTGGGAACTCCAGTTAAGGACTCAGAGGAAGGGACACCTTGTCTACCCCCTTCCCAGGGAAGTCTCAGCCCCAGCGCACCTTTAGGATTGGCGGTGTCACTGTCTTCAGAGGTGTGGGACACACGATGGGGTACAGGGGAAGAGCATTTGGGCATTGCACAGGACACATTAGGGGCTGTTCAGGGCAGAAACAGGAGGGATTTAGATGATTTGTAGAGAAACAAGCGTGGGATACGGGAATAAGAAGAGCCAATGGTTTGTGATGGTTTGGCCATGCCCTGTACCTGATCAGTGCAGCCTGTCCAGTCTTGTCATTAAACTCCTTTCATAATTTACCCTGGATGAGGGACTTTGTTTACGACATGGTAATGGTGTGAAGGGATGCAGGTGCCAGCAGCTTGGACTCATGGCCCTGGAGCAGCACCTGGCATGGGCATGCAGATGACTGTGAACAGTCACAGCTAGCCAGCAAGGGGGCCTGGGAGGCAGGAAAAGGCTGTGGAGGAGGAGACAGCTCCCAGGGGGACCAGAGAAGACCCATCCAGCTGCCAAAAAGACTGGGAGGCTTGGAGGTCCCTCAGGGGCAAAAGCACCACAGAGAGTTGACTGCTGGGAGACCAAGGATACCAGAGAGGTTTGGATTGAGGGGCAGCTACTGAGGTCTCTGGCACTGTGTTTATGTGAGTGCTCTGTGTGGCTGGATGTGTAATCTGTGTCCGTGTTTAAGAGGTGTTTATGTGGATTTGTGCATGTGCCTACTGAGAAGTAACAAGCTCAACCAGGCTATTGCATGGGGGCACGGAGCTGCAGAGGCCTCACCTCTCTCGGGCTACCAGATATCACCAAATTTTATATCAACAGATGTGTATATTTGTATATATCATACATATCCATATCATGTACGTAGGTATATTTCATAGGGCTTCATGTAGAAGAACGGCATTTCTGCACATAGAATTGAGATAAGATAGATTAAAGCAGACAGGCAACAGCTTTCTCCCAAAGCATTTGCACCAAAAAATAAATAAGTTACACTCTTCTTTCAGAGATTTCACGTTTCTTGCATCCTACCTAAGCACATGGGTACTGCAGCAGGAGGTCTGGTTACAGTATTGGTTGGCATTCCTGAGATACCTTGAATCAAATTAGCACACTTAGCAGTGGCAACAGAGATGTTCAAGTTCTCCTGGTTTTAATAAAAGTCTGCTTTCAGGTGCAGCTGAGCTAATGCAGTAGTGTGCTGCAGGTACAAGGAGGAATTCCTGATTCCTGTCTCTCTGCTCTTCTTCTCTCTCCTCTCTACCAAGTACACATTTTCAGGCACAGTGAACTATATTCATTCTGTGTGTCTTGTGATGCCCTGCCCTCAAAGGCCACCACACATGGTGCCTTTTTGATTAAAGTCATAACCTGCAGGGAAGGATTTGCAAAACTTGTGGGCTTGTGTGGCTGCAAGGCAGCTACCAAACACAGTGAGGCAGGTCCAGGCTGTCTGGGTCTGTGTGATCACCAAGCAATGCATGGAAGAGTGAAAAGCACCAGTTCAGACTGTCTGAAAACACAGAGATCTAAAATAAGGCTGACATCAGGTGCCGGTAAAATTAAGACAGAAGGTAGCTTCATTTCTGGCAACAACTTCTGAAGCCCTGAGTATTTTAGTAGTCTGGGTTAATTCAAATGGGGGGCGTTTACTCCTAAACAAGTAATACAGAACTTTGAGAAGAATTTTACTTCATACAAAAGCTAGCCACACCCCCAGCATGTTTTTAAACACAGCCTCTAAAGATGACAACAACATTGAAGGCTAATGAGGGACCCTGAACTGGGGGGATGAGGGTAGGAGTGGACAGGGTAAATAGATCAGCGATCACGTTGTGATTGGGTGAAATTCGGGTTTAGGCACACTACCACGGGCTCTTGTTTTCCACAGTGCAGTGGGATGCCAGAAAATGGTATCACGATAATACAGCCCTTTCTAAAAAAGGCCACGGAGCCAGACTGCTAACCATATTTAGCACTACTAAGTTGCGATTGGCACCAGCAAGCCTTGGTTGTCACCCACTGACATTTTGTTCAGCCCTAAAAATGAAAACAGTTGCCTGCACTGTTTCAAACTATGAGAGTCACTGGGGAATCAGAGATAGGGAAAGAGAAAGATAAGGCAAAGTAACAAGTTCATCGGGACTTAGGATCTCAGAGCCGCTATAGCCAAAAGGTTTTCTGCGTTTCTGAGGTGGTGAAAGGTTGCCACATATGGCATCAGGGTCACAAGAGGTGTCTGCAACCAGATGAGGTGAGCACCCACCAGGGAGAAGCAGTGCCTGCGCCATCTGCACCCTTGAACCTCACTGACAGTCAGTACCTGTGTTCTACTCAGCATCAGTATGAAATACTCACCATGAAACTCACCACGAAATGCTTTCATGGGTCCATGCTAAAACAGTAAAACATGACTGCTCTCCTTTGCTCCTTTACTTCCCCAGCTTTGGCTGAGGAAGGGTGACACTGGGAGCTGTACCCTGAGGCTTGCCCTTGGTGGCTGGTGGAACATTTTCACTGTGCAGTGGAGGGATGAGCTGGGGAGTCTCCTGAGGGTCCCCAGGAGGTGGGCAGGCAGATCTACCTGGCTGCTCAGGTCTGGGCCACACCTGCTCTCTTTTCTGTCCACCCTGTTTGGTGGACGGATGGGAAACCCAGCATTGCTGTCTGCACCACCTGCTGAATCTGGTGACAATGGGAGCTGGGGTGACAATTCCAACAGCAAAAACCACAAGCTGGTGTGAGCACCAAGGGGAATTAAGTTGTAAAGGGCGAACCACCATCAGAGAGCAGCAAGGAGCTGATACAAGGCTCTGGAAGGGGTTTTGATCTCCTCTCGTACAGGGGGCACAGAGTATTATTGTTTCTGCCTCTCATCTTGTCTGTGAAATATCAGTCCAGAAGTGACAGTGTTAACAAATACAGTGAAAGAGGCTGCTCTGTAAACTGAGCTACATGGTCACATGCACAGGTTTTATTTTTAACATCCCCAAACTACTTGATGTTTCTGCCTGGGCTTGCTCCGTGTCCTTCTGTTCTCTTCCCTTTCTTTGCTTGCAGTCCTCCCTCACCCACCTCACTTCAGCCCAGCTGAGCACAACCAGGAGAGCAAGTGTTTGGTACATACACAGGGGCTCTATGATCAAGGTAAGGCTTTTTAAATAGAGCTGGAGTTTTTACTGGACAAACCTTATTCAGTGTAATGGTTACTCTATTGAGCTATAAAAATCAAGGCATCTTCAAAACAGCCTTAGTAATTAAGATGAAGTAGAATAACTGTGAGATGTCTTAAATGACTCCCTAAAACAGAGGCAGCTGGTAAGTGTGAGCACTTCTGTGACATACTACTCTAAAAAAAAACCCTCCATAATATATTCAGTAAATTAGCTGTAGCTTCCAGTACCGTATCCAGGGTTTTTAGGAACTAAGATGCTGGTTGTAAGATGGGAGCTTCAGCAGTGGGTCAGATGATAAATCAAAAATTCAGTCTCTGTAATTTCAGGAAACTCTGAGAGAAGTAAGACAAGGAGATACAGTAAGGGTCAGGGAAAAGACAAGAGCAATCTTGTGGCAAAAATGCTCAGACTTAAAATCTAATGACATTTCTAGACTCAGACTGCAAACTTTATGTTGGCAATCCAGATTGAATGAATGGCAAAGTAAGAATTACAAGAGTTACAGGTACTACTGTACCATTTAGTCTTGTGGCTGCTTAACAAGTTTTATTCATGAATCTCTTCTCTTTTGTGTTTTTTTTATGACTTAGATCTTAACCAATAGCTCTGAAATTCTCTAAAGTGAGTGCCTGCCTTGGGCTGCCTTATGTTTTTCTTAAAGCCATTCACTAGATTATATCAATAAGTTTTCAGAAAAGTATGTTAATGAGATTGTTACCAGAGTGTAAAATAGCCAAAAGAGAAAAACCCATGGTTTGGACCATTCCTTTTTTTTCCATCAAACTACAACTAGACTGGAACTTACTATTTTAAAGCACTTGCTGAACTCAAACCAAGACCAAACTGACTTTCCAGTTACTGATGCAAAGTGAGAGTTTGCCTGACTATGTGTCTACCAAGGACAGCACAGGGCCCCCTCCCATGCCCAAGGAGCAGCAGAGCAGCTCCATGTCACAGCCTCCTGTCCTGTCTGTCTCCCACATGACTCCCCAACATGCCCAGCACAAGATGCTGATTCTGGGCTAACCTGCACTGTGCCACCAGCTCAGGGGATCACTTCAGCACTTGAAATTTTGGGGTGGGTTTGTCTTAGATGAGCTGTGGCTACATTGCACTAGGTAGGGAGGAGTAAGAAATATTGCTGATCCACGTCTCATAGTGGGGAATGCAGGGTGGGGTTTCCAGCAGTGCCCTGTGTTATCTGTGCCTCACTACTCCAAACTCTCCTCTGCTTTTCCTGTACCAGTGCTGGTGCATTTCACCAAACAGAAATTGCACAAGCAAGTTTTGGTGCCACCACCTTATTGCCTGTGTGCAGCACAGATTTTCCAGGTGAGGAGGAGGCCTGATAGTGCAACAGATTCCCTTGAGCTCCATGGTCCTGCATGTCAGGTTTAGGGAGCTGAAGAGAAGCTGATGTGTTCCTGTGAGAACCTGAGTAGCAGGTGTGCTCTGGAAGAAAAGCAAGGAATATGGATTGAAGCCTTTGCCCATCTGATGGAGAATACTGTGGACTTACTCCATCCCTGAAATTCTAAAGCTTTTTTTCTTTCAGTAAAAAGCAATTCCAACCTGTTCAGTAACTCTGAACTAATGGCTATTGCCATGAAACACCATAGCCTCACCCAGATGGTCCCCAGCTAAAAAATAGAGGGAGTATCTCCATAATTGTCACAGCTTCATCCTTCCACCTTTGGGTTTATCTAGCAGGTCAGTTGTCTCCTGGAAAACCCTTTCCCTCCTCACATCTTATACTGAGGATTTGAGGTTCGCCAGGATTGCCCTGGAATCAAAGTGATTCCATGTGAAGTCTTTCAAGGTCACCTCAAAACTTGGGCTTGCTCATGCTCGCTAGAAGGTTATTAACGTTATTGATCACGATTTCATCTATACCTTTTATTCTGTCTTTCCACCTACCCTGAGCTGTACCATATTCACTGCCTGACTCATTTAAATCTTGGCTGGCAACATGCATGTGCAAGATCAGTCCAAATGGCAACTGCAGAGCAGGTGTGCCAGAAGGACAGTGACCTGCTATGCCTAATGCCAAGGTGGTCACCCAGGCTGTCCCTGCTGTTGGCGTTGAGGGGTGGGGTTTGACTTACTTAGGGGTCACTGTGATTCCAGGTGGTGGCATGCTTGGATTTGCTTTTTATTTTGTATCAAAGAACAGGATTTCAGGTACAAATGCAGTACCTTGTGAGTCCCTTCCAACTCAGAATATTCTGTGAAATCATAGTGTTTTCATCCTCAGCACTAAGAAATAAAAGTATCTGTTCAGCAAAGAGACCCAAGTCTGATTTCTTGCCCAGGTTGTTAAGAAGTACTGATTGAGGAAGAATGGTGCATGAAAGGAAAATAAAATTTTTAGTTTAAGGAGATTTAGATGGTGTCCTAGAAAATGTAATTCTGCGGCAGGCTCTGCCAGGGTTTTTGTGCAGGAGGCATGCAACTGCAAGTGAAACATCAGAACCTGAACATCTCCATGACCAGCATGTATAGTTACTTATTTGCATAAAATGTTTAGTGCTAGTTATTTTCATATTTCTATACTTTAATTCTATATCTGCCAAATTGAAGCAACAGTATCTGTCAACCTTAAGGGCATCTCTAGTACTGCAAAGATAAATTCTGTTATTGATTGTGAACCCCCTCAGATCTAAGATTTTAAATATACTGAAAAACCATGTAAGAAAATTAATAACTCTGATATTAATTAATTATTCACCTTGAGATTTCAATATGATAAAAATAAGATAAACTATATACTCAGTAATGAGGATTAAAAGAAATAGAGAACATCACCTATCTGCCTATACATTCAACATTCCTTCTGTTGCAACATTATATGTAACTTTACCATTCTTGGCTCCAGCATTTGGATGCAAATTTTCCGGAGATTTTTTTTAAGAGGTCATTACCATATTGTAAAATTTAGCAAGAGTGTTTCAAGTTTGTTCACAGTCTTATCTCAGAGGCACTTGTTAGGGTCATTATCTGGGATGTCTGAGTGACCCTTTCTCATGTTTCTTCAAAATGGGAGGTATCCCCTGATTCTGTGCAAAGAGCTCAGGTACAATGTATGACCTTAGTATATCAAAGTACCAGCCACATATAGCACATACCAAATAAGAAAACACTAGTGTTATTTTGGCTAATTGACTGCAACTGAATTAAATGTATATTTCCTGAAAATAAATCGTAATCAGTTTATAAACTGTGTGTGACAATAACTGAACAGATCTGCCTCAGACACAAACATAGCTGCAGTTAAAATAGCAGGTGTATATTTTTAAGCCTTACTTGATTTGCTGTCTTGACAGTCTAAAAATAAAGATTTACCAAAGTGGACAGACTGTGGACTGCAATGTGCATCCTTTCTTGCACAGTAGCTTGAACATGATTGAAGTTAGCATTTCTGGTTTGCTTTTTTTTTTTGCTAACCTAGATCTTAAAAAATTTTGCAAGTTGCAGGGAAACAAGAAGTGTACGTCTTTAGAGAAACATTTCATCACCTCACATGTCTGCATGTCACTTGCCTCTGGATGTTATGTATCAAACTTACTGAGGCAAAGATTTGTAAACTTTCTGCTGAGGGTTCTGAAAGTTGTAGTTTGTGTGCTGACAGTAATAATAATAATAATAATAATAATAATAATGGCCAGTCTTCGCGAGCGAAGATCCGGGGAAGGTCTTTACACCTTCCAGCCTGCGCATTGGATTTTTTAGGTGAGACACAGTGTGCGCGGAACTGAGCCCACCCTTTAATCCTAAGGTTCATCTGCCGGGGCCAAGCGAGCTTGGACGGTGGCAGCGAGGTCCTTAGGACGTAGGTGGGTTGCCTTTAAGGGCTAACGAGCCCCACCTGCCCGGGAGTGGCCCTGACCGGGAATCGAACCCGGGTCTCCGCGGTGACAGCGTGGCGCCTTTGCCGCTAGACCACCAGGGGCTCCTATGCTGACAGTAATAACATCAACTAAACCACAGAGCTAACTGGATCATCAATTAAAATACAAAGCTCCAGATTACTGGCATGTCAGAACAGAAGCAGCATTCAAACCCTGATAAATATCAGGAAAAAATTCTCTGTGTCTTCTTCCTGTCCTCTAACTTCACAGATTTAACAATGAGAAGAGAGACATAGACATATTTTGTCTGAAAAGAACAGAATATGCAAGTTAGAGATGAGGTAAACTCAACTAAAAATATACCTGAATAATGATGGGGACTGACTCTGCATCTGAATGTTCTGATATGGTCACTTTTCATAAACAAAGCATGTATTTTCTTTCCCTACATGAGATTCAGATGGGGTTTGTTTCAGCATACAGCAATGTGAAAGCAGGCTCCTCTCCAGAAACTTTGCAATCAGTCCTTTCTGTGTTTTGGAGAACAATAAGGCCTGTGCCTTTGATGTATTTTTATTTATCAGTTATTTCTCCCCAAGAGTTACTTTTGCAGTGGAAAGTATTGTTCACACAACACATCCGTGTTTGTGCTGCAGTGTAATGTAGCCAGCCTTCCTCTGACCTTATGCAAGTCATGGCTGGGACTATTTTTAGAGATTATATTTGCAGCAAAATGCTACAAGAATGAGAGCAGCAAGCACGCTGCCAGTATGAAATAAACCCATCTGTATCTCCTGCTACTCTGAGCCACATAAATGTAGGTGTAACAAACAGCCTAAACCAGGACAGATGCCACCCTGAACCACATTTAAGGGCTGGATGTGGCTGAGGCCACTCTGGGCTGCACGCTGGTGTCAGCCCTGTACAGAAGCCAGTGGTTCTCAAGGCAAGGCAGGGATGTCATAATGGGCAGTGACAAAATATTATTTTCTGCATCGCTGTCTGGAGCTCCTTCCATGCAAAGGTGAAGGCACCTGAGCCTTATACTTCAGAGTGTAAGTCTCTGAATAAAGTGACCACCAAGGGTGTGTTCCTTTATCCTGCAGGGCCGAGAGGGAATGGGGTTGATTCACTAGGAACTGTAAGCAGGCATTGATCAGCACTGGAAATTGCAAAAGATGGAACAAAGTTGTATTGAGCAATCAATACACATCAAATTCAAACATGAGTGTGTGGTCTTCAGTGCAGCATCCCAGGAGCACTGCCTTTACCAGACATTATTCCTTCTCCAGTATTGTTCGTGTCTTCCATTGCCAGGGTGTGGAAGTGTGAAAGACAACAAGTTAAGACAGTACCTTCAAAAAGGAGGGGAGCAGCTTCACATAGCATCGCTTCTCCTTGAGCCTGAGCCCGTCTGCTCTGCAGCACAGCTCTCCTAAAGGCAAAATCACTTAAGCCTGGGGTTGCAAAAGCACTCACATCTCGGTAAACACTGTTGTGTTCTCTTTAATCTTCGCTAAAAAGAACCCAAAGTCTTAATTATTTTGCTACCAATGTCTGTTTTTTCTCAGAGCCAAACTAGAGTCTATTGGGCATATGGTAGTTTCTACTGCATAGAAGGTGTGGTGGAGAGACTTGCCAAAAATCTTTTTCCCATTTTCACAAAGACAGAAAAGCACCCTGGGTCCTGTTTTAAAACAGAACTCCCCTTCCTCCTTATGATTAGCTTTTCCTCTTCCACGAAGACTCACAGTGGGCTGAATCAAGCTGGAATGCAGCCCTTACAACAAGTAGCAGGAGGTCAGAGGTTGGGAGTTTGCTGGTTACAGCTGCTCTTCTTTGGGCCAAGTTACTGATATCCAGTTGAAGATACCCAGGGAAGTAGCTCTAAGCAGTGACTGAGCAGCCTCTAGTTCTGTAATCCAACAATTGTGTGTGAGGGGAAAAGACCCCCTAAACAACATCTCTTACAGACATTGTTGAAGAAAACTTCAGGGGTGGGTGGACCTCTGGTTTGACCCAGAATTTAATTTCTTATGTTCTTGTATTTTGTACAACAAGAGGCATGCCTCATGATAACCACCATCTCCATTCACTTGCTGTTGGATTGTTCTTCTGGTTTTCCATTTGTAGGAAGTATTAACAGCTATTACCTGGAATTATTGCAAGAGTAGAGGTATTATGAGCAAGGGGAACTGAGATATTTTTGAAGGAGGTCTTCTAAGTGCATTATTTTTACATTAAACTGATTTAATTGACTGGGGAAGAATGAGAAATGCAATAATTAAACTGAAGCCAGTGGTTCATTGTGACACAAACATAGTAATCTGGTAGTGATAACCTTTTATCATATTCTTTTACTTCTACTTTTTGCTATTGGACCTCAGTAAAAGGTTTTAAGGGAAGGAGAGAAAAAAATTATATATACTTGAAGCCACATTGTTATGGAAGTGTGAGAGCATAAACTCAGTCTTCCTTAAGACAACATTTAATTAATACATATAAATAATATATATAATATATATTAATTGTATAATAAACTCGTTTAAATTTCTAAAACATTTGGTTTGGCACATCAACTTGTTCTTTTAGTTCAGTCTGTTGGTTGCAAATTTTAAATTCATGGAGCTGCCTGGTGGCAGCTGAATTTATGAAACAGAGACTGGTATTATTTGTTATTTATTGCCTGTGACCTCTTTTTCTGTTTTCTGGCCCCTTGTGGTGTCACTAACACCCTCATAAAATGGATCTAAAATATAATCAGCTTAGGATCACCTATTAAGTTCCAGGCAGTGTTTGATGATGAGTTGTCATATGTACATAGGGTGAACTGGAGAAAGCAGAGCAGTGGTGACCAGTTTTAATATGATCATAATCTAAACCAAATCCCGAAGGGAGCAAAATGTGAAAGAGGTGCTCCAGGTGGCCTCCCCTGCTCCATCATATGAAGGGAAAAGCTCTGTTGAGATTAGACCTTTGTTGCTCCCCTTTTGCCCTATCTGTGCAGGGTGATGTGGACAGGAGCATGGAATAAACCATACCTGCCATCTTCTCCTTCCTCCTGTCAGCATTCACTGGTGGCAGCAAGGGGAAGAAAGGTGAAAGGCTGTTTGTAAAAAAAAAAAAAAATTTGAAAAAAAATTAATTTATTGGAGTGAATATAACCTTGCAACAAGCCTCCATTACACTCTGGAGCTTCACTCCAAAACTCACACCAAGGCATCACTTTATTCCAGGTTCTGAATAAAGTAGAAGTAGCAAATAACCTGCTTGAAGGAAAGTTCCCTGCAGTCTCTGTTCCACAACATGCAGGCATCATCAAGGGGCATAAGGGTAAATCAGGAAAGCAGAGTTAAAAAGGCCAGGCAAATTAGCCTTTTTAGCCAGGCTGTTTTCCGCACTCGGAACTGGTATCCTGAAGATAATTCTCACTCTCAGCCTTGCTGGTGTAGAGCAAAGGGAGGTTCATTTGTGCAACACTCATGTTTTTATGGGAGATGAGAGGATGTCTAAGCCAAATGACCATCTAATTTCTCTAGAGAGGAAAAAGGAATGTCCTTTTTCCTACCCAGCGTTGAGGAAGTGGAATGCTCCTTCACTGTGCCTCTGGCAGTCTTGATTTCAGCAGCTTGGTTTAGAAAGACCCAGTGTAAACAATAATAATAATGGCCAGTCTTCGCGAGCGAAGATCTGGGGAAGGTCTTTACACCTTCCAGCCTGCGCATTGGATTTTTTAGGTGAGACACAGTGTGCGCGGAACTGAGCCCACCCTTTAATCCTAAGGTTCATCTGCCGGGGCCAAGCGAGCTTGGACAGTGGCAGCGAGGTCCTTAGGACGTAGGTGGGTTGCCTTTAAGGGCTAACGAGCCCCACCTGGCCGGCTCCACCCCAGTGTAAATACTGGGATAGAAAACCACTCGCTCCCAAACCCTGGCTGCTTGGGCTAACAAGTGAGGACCTTATCTATTTATATCTGTGCCGCTACCAGGCCACGCTGTACTGTGGGGATCGGAGCTGATCCGTGACTGTACAGAGCTGGCAGTCGTTTGCCCACAGTCTTGTTCCCGCTAGAAGTGCATGTGAGCACCTGATATGTAGAAACCAAGGATGAGCACAGAGGGTCTGTGGCCATCTCCCCTCCTTCTGGCAATAACTCTTGTCTTCTTGTCTTTGCTACACACAGCACCGGGCCCAGAAAGCTCCCCCTGGGCAGCACAGGCACTGTGAGCGATGTTTCAGCCGGCACTGCCGCGCGCCAGTTGAGATCTCCGTCTCCTGCATGGTGATCAGCTGCCGCCTTCACTGCGGGGCCACCTTCCACATGTGCAAGGAGGAGGAGCACCAATTGCTCTGTCCCTTAGAGCAGGTCTCCTGCCTCAACTCAGCCTATGGCTGTCCTTTTTCCATGGCCCGCTTTAAGCTGGGGAAGCACCTCCAGGTCTGTCCAGCCAGTGTTGTCTGCTGCTCAATGGAGTGGAATCGCTGGCCAAACGTGGATTCAGACACCACCCTCCACAAGAACATTATGAAGGAGACCTTAAATGAAGAGTGTCTGGACACAGCCTTGGCACTCAGAGACCAGAAGGTACTTTTCAGGACTTTGAAAATAGCTGAGTTGTTTCCAGAGTGGAGGAAAAAGGATGAAGTGGAAGAGCTATTGGACGAAGCCATGGGTGGTGAAGGAGGTGCTGTGGGGGGAGTCGCCTGTGGTGCCCAAGAGGGCAAAGACCAGTTGCCCGAGCTCAGCCAACGTGAGCGTGAAGATCTGGCAAAGGACAAAGAGGGAATGGACCTGGGAAGTTACAAAACCTGGGAGAACATTTTCAGCAAAGAGCTCCTGGCTTGCCAGGTTGTGGGCTCAGCAGCCAGCACAGGAAAAAAGACAGAGGAGGCTTCCAAGAAGACAGCACCAGCCTCTCATGCTGCCAGCTCCACAGAGAAGGCAAAGGAAGGACCTGACGGTGCAGAAGAGGCAAAGGACCAAAAGCCTGAACAAGTAACACCAAGTAGAGAATTGAAAGGAATGGCTCCCTGGCAAGAAGGGGTCCTGGAAAGGCTGAAGAAGGAAGTTGGTGTAGGTGATTACAACATGTATCTGGTACATCATGGTGGAATGCTCATCCGCTTTGGCCAGATAGCTGCTTGCACTCCCAAAGAAAAAGACTTTGTCTATGGGAACTTGGAAGCCCAGGAGGTGAAGACTGTCTACACCTTCAAAGTGCCAGTTAGTTACTGTGGCAAAAGAGCGCGACTGGGAGATGCTCTGGGCCACAAGATGCCAACTTCAGACAAGTCAGTGGATACCTCAGAACTGGGAATAAATGTAGAAGAACTACCTAAGGCAAGTATAGTTGAAGCCACACTGCTGTGTGCCCTGGAAAAAGAGCTGAAAGGCCATGAGATCTCTGAAGCAAGGGGTATTGATGGACTCTTTGTGGATTTTGCAACACAAACATACAGCTTTCCTTTGGAACCCTTCTCCTCCAATGCTGTTCTAGCAGATGTTCTGGATGAAAAAAGCCCAGAAGAGCTCCACATGGAGCTCTACACTGATTGTGTAACCAGAAGACACAACAAAAGCAGTTCAGCTTTCACATTCACTTGCAGACATTTCTTCAGGAGGGATGAGTTCCCATCCCACTTCAAGAATGTGCACGCTGATATCCAGTCATGTCTGGATGGATGGTTCCAGCATCGCTGCCCACTGGCCTACCTGGGATGTCCTTTTGTTCAAAATCACTTCCGCCCTGATGGACTTAAGGCCAAGGTTATATACAGCAAGCCTCTCAAGACATTTGCTATAAAGCCAGAGGTGGACACCCTTCTTGCTGAACCAGGGAAGTGCAATTTCACAGTGGATCGTCGAGGAAGAAATAAGGACTTGCTGAGCAGCCTCCCAGTGGAAGTGCTCAAGTACATTGCGGGATTTCTGGACAGCTTCAGTTTATCTCAACTATCACAAGTGTCAGTGCTCATGAGGGACATCTGTGCCACTCTTCTTCAAGAGAGGGGAATGGTCCTGCTGGTCTGGGAGAAAAAAAGATATTCCCACGGTGGTACTTCATGGAGAGCCCACAAAAAGGCAAGTGACTGTGACACTGGGAAAAACAGACACGAGTTCTCATCAGATAAACATAAGAGCAAGAAAAGCTGCAGATAGGCGTGCAGATGTGGGGAACGTTCATGAGGTTGTGAATTTGCACAAGGGTTTGTTGTCAGGGGCAGGGCTGTAAAGTGCAGCACATCTAGCAAAGGTGGGCAGGTGTAACTAGGTATCTTCTGACTGGCTGAAAGTCCCCACCCAAGCTTGTCTTGGGTAACCCACTTGCATGTGCACCGTTTTTAGGCACTGGGAACTAAGAATTCCTGATATTTAAGCATTACTCACAGATTGTTGAAGAACTTGATGTTCATACTTATTTTTGTTCTTTACAAGCCAATCTAGGGTATGTCGAAATACTTAAGAATGCCAAAAAGGTAAAGAACAAGGAGACATGGCTGTAAAAGGGGCTCAGGCATTCGTATCAAACCCCAAGGGCTTTCATGATTAGTTGTTCATAGGATTACTGTGCGTGAGGGAGCAGCATGGGGATAGGAAATCACCTTCTGCAAAGCTGGTCTCCCACTGTTTGTGCTGGAAAATTGCTACCCTTATTGGCTGTTTAGGAAGAAACATATAAGCACAACTCAGTCTGAGTCCTAGTTGAACATTAGTTATTACAGGGGTTTTTTTCTAGCTGTTAGCCTTGCAACTGCTCTGCTCTAACATCATATCATATAGTCATAGAAACATTTAGGTTGGAAAAGACCTCTAAGATCATCAAGTCCAGCCATTAACCTAACACTATCAAGTCCACCATCACATGAAACTGTTTGAAAATGTAGCATGACAGACTTCAGCCTGACCAAGCAGACAAGACGGAGATCTAGGAATAAGAATTTAGAGGTCCACAAGAGACTCCCAGAAATTATCTAAGGACCTGGCTTTCAAGCAGAGCCCTGTAGATTTCCACTTCTTGATTCTTATTAAATGGAAGCGTAGCAATTCATGACTTCTTATTAATATAAAGTACTCTCTTTTATGAGAAAACATGAAGCATGACGAGTTAAAAAATCTGTGTAACAAAGTGTTGGGGGCTGCAAGTTGAATTAGCCCAATACAGACCAGGAATTAGCCACTGAAATAATTTACTGGACGATGATGTGGCTTCCTTCAGTAAAAGGAAGACATTCCAGCCACCCAATCATAGGGCAAGTAACTTCAGTTATTGTAGTGCAATTTCAAACCAGCAGCATTGAGTTTAAGGACTCTCTAACCCTTTTCATGGTAACTCTCTGTACTGACCACACAGGAATCTTGTTTCCAATGCACAGACTCTGCTTGAAAACATTGTTTGTAATTCCAAATTTCTTGACTACTGTGTATCATAGCTATTATTACTTAGAACTAGGACAGGGTCAGGCAATCTTCAGCATGGCACGTCCACATATTATCCTTCTTTCCAAGGAAGAAACATTTTTATGGAGAAGAAATCTTTAAAAATTAATTTGATTTAATGGTATATGCAAATATTAAAGTCACTTAATCACGGTCCTATCATTACATGCTAGTATATCAGTAAATGGTGCATGGTATCACTGCAAACAGAAAAGTTGAACTGCACATTTCTGTTTTCTACAAGTGTGTATGTCCTCTAGTAATAACTTTAACCTTATATTTCCCAGAGTTTTCTGGTGTGGGGTGAATGGTAACAGTGTTGTAATGGTAATTGCTTTGTAGTTGCCAATAGGTGCTTTGGAAGGTCTTTATGTTGTCAGGTTTCTTTGAGATACATATCACATAAGCATGCTGTGGTCACTTTGCTTTATAAACATCTTGGATCACACTGCACATGTGATGGAGTTTTCTGCAGAGGTGCAGTGGTCAGGTGTCCTGGATTTCCTCATGCTCTGCACTGGATTGACACCATGGAAATCACAGTGTCAGTGACTTCTCCATTAAAAATGGCAGGTGATGACTAAAGCAGAAAAACCAGCAAATACGAGGTACATAAACAATACAGACCCCACGTTTGTTTATGCCAGGCCTGCACAATCAGATGTTCACTAGCCTGTCCAGTATGAGTAATGCACGCCCACTGTGAGAATCTATAGATAATTAAAATCCGCTTCTGTTTTTACCACCATCCCCATTTTATATCGCCAATTTCTTTCCCTTTCCCACATTAGATCTGGCAGTTCAGCAGCCTCTTCTCCAGAGTTCACAAATGGCAGCGCAATGACGTCATGTGCATGTCAGAACACCTGAAGAATTGTCCCTTCTACCAAGTGGAGCACAGGACAGACCCCGTGCTGCTGACAGGAATGTCTGAATCTCGAGAGCAGACTCGAAAGACTTTGGTTTCTACTTTCAAGCACAGAGTCTGAACAACCTGCTTGGCCTCTGCTGTGCTCCCTTCAGGTGTCTTCAGATAAAAATTTGGGAATTCAGGTGTAAAGATTGTTGCTTCCAACTTTCCTTTGGATGTACAAAACTTTCGTCTCCCTGGCTGTGTTGGAAACATCCTGCTTTTTTTCTTTTTCTGCATTAATTTAATTGTTGAAACGTCATCCACTGCTCACTAACATCATCTGCTTTCTGTTTATGTTTCTGTTCCTTGCTTAATACAGCATCTTGAAGAAAGCAATAAGGATCTTGTTTGAAAACAGCACCTTTGCAACCTTGAAGGTAGGCTGCTGCCCCTGTACCATGTGCTTGAGAGAAGCAAGATTAGTTAATGTATTTGGCTTGACTAGGTCTGGAACACCTTGGTTTCATCTGTAAAGCCAAGCTCCATGAACTCAGATAGATGTCCTTCTGCCTGGCAGACCCAAGGACTGGTAACCTGTTCTGAGACATGGGAAAAAGAAAAGGACATCCCAGAATTAAGAGAATCTGTTAGAACTCCAGTGAGAACTGAGGAATTTGCAGTTTTGCAGTTGTAAGTTGCAAATTCTAATTGTAAGCAACTATAAATAATATGTCAAAGAAATACTATTCTTTTCCATAAAAGAAGGGACATTCAGCAACCCATTCAGTAACAGTACAGATAATGCTTGCCTCAGTTAAAGGGGCTTGAGCATAAGAATCTTTTCTTTTTTTACAGAGCAGAAGACTGGTTAAGATTTGATTTATTTTTTAATAAATACACTAACTTAAAAACTGAATGGGCTTGTTGAGGCAACAGATGAGAGAAAGCAAGCATGTTACCAGCAGTGTCTGTCTCGTTACACTATTTAAACCCATTTCAGTGGCACCAGAGAGAAATGCCATAGGTGTAGTGGTGGGTGGGATTCCTCTGAAATGGCCATGAACTGATTCAACAGCTTACAACAGCTTACAGCTGCTGCACAGCCACAGCGGCGCTGACTCACACCCCTTTCTTCTGGTTCACAGCCAGAAGTGCAAGTTCAGGACATGAGATCTGACTTTCATCTTACTGTCTCAGGCAGAAGAACCTCGCTGGGAGCTGGGATATCTGCTGGCTTGGACCACTGCTCTCCTCACCTGGGCTGGCCAGGTGAAAGCTGGCTCAGGTGGATGGGCGCACACCACGCTTGCCATCCCTTGTCTCGCTGCATCTGGGATGAGTCAGCTATGCAAGAAGGAGCCCTCTCTTACCCATAGAGGTTGCTGATGGACCTGAGCTGAGTGCTTGGTAATCAAAGGCATGAATTGCACGGTGACTGAAACCATGCTGAGTGCAGCTCGTCCTTGTCTACACTTACAGCTTAAGTGGTCCCTGTGAGATTTTTAACCATATGAGGATGTTTTTCTTCTCCAGACACACACACTCAGAGGCATCTTGTCTGAGTTGTGGGGACAGTGGATTGGTCCCAGGAGCAGGACTACCAGCAGTTCCCTTTTTATTTTTTTTTTAATGTTACTCCGTTTTCTTTCCCTAGAGATTCCTTCTGGAAAGTCTCATAAAGCTTTACGCATGGGTGTCAGTATTTGTGCCACATACTTGAAAATGAAGCCAAGATTAAGATTATGGATAATTTGGGGAGGAGAAGAAAAAATAATAGGGTCTCAGAATAAATCACTGTTCAAGGTCATATAAGAGACCATGAAAAATTTCAGCCTATGAGCAATCTCTCACATGATCAGCCACTTGGGTGCTGTAAACTGATGTGGCTGCCCTGAAATTGTGGCTTATATTAGGTATGAATTGGGCTCTTTTTACCTTTAGTGTCAGTGTCACCAGCACCGCTGCTATCCCACCCCTGACCTCCTTCTGTCAGTTCCAGAGGATTTTGTTCTTGTATCATCCTGCTCCTGGAGATGGCATGACTTCAGTTCTTCCAACTTTATTACCACTGATCCTGCTTCTTCCCTATCCAGGAGCTGCCCAAGTCAGACTACAGGGAGGACACAACCTTTGCAAACATCATGGTTCAGGGAGGAGTTCAGAGATAGGAATGTCACAACCTCTATCTCTTGGGATCAGCCAGGGTGTTCATAGAACATTTAGGAGACTGGATCATTTTTCTTCTGGTACTGCTGTAGGGTACACCAGAGTGACGGAGGATGTTAATTCAAGCAGAAAGAAATGCATTTGCCCCTGTGAATATATAGGTATACTTCTGTAAACTATAAGTTTGGCTAAGTAACCTTTAGCACATCAAGTGAAAGCTGAAAATCCCCAGTCATCTTCAGGTTATTCTGGTTAACCTGACCCTGGAATAGGCAAAGCTGTACAAGGGAGTGGATACCCTTATACTGCTGTGTACCCACCTGGCCAATGTCAGCTTCTCACTTCATCTCACATTTATCACTAGTGGAGAGCTGTGGGCTGGTGTCGGATGCAGTTTTAATAGTCTGAGGGCATATGCAAAGCTAGCTCAGTGTTGATGGTCCTGCCCATTGGTAGAGTCAGCAGAAGCTTTGGGAGCTGCAAGAAAATCAATTTGCCTGACCTGTTTGCTTTGGTGAGCACAGTGCTGGCTTATTTAAAAGGTAAGAGGCTTCAATTTGGGTTCAGCAAGTCCTTAGCTCCTGGTTTAGATTTGTAATTTGGCCAATAAAACTTCCTGAATTTCAGCTTGAGGAATTTGATTAGAAACAGAGCATTTAGTGTTTTCCAAAATGGGTCTATTGCTGTGGAGGAGTCTGAACTGGAAAAGGGGCTCCAAGTCCAGCAGAGCATATTAGCTGCTTTTGGTCCTGACCCCACACTCTGGATCTTCATGACTTTGATCTTCCTTGTGCTGACCACAAGTCTTGTGAAGGGCAAGAGCAATACTCTGCACACTCCAGCCTGGCATGCTTTGCAGTATTTTCTCTCGCTGGAAGAATGGGAAGTGAAACGATGGCACTATGGAAATCAGAAATGTCAGAGTAGAGCAAAAACACTCATGACAACAGAAGACAGGAAACAGAAAAGGTAACGGGTTTGGCTGGAGGAGACCTGCCTGACTGTAGGTGTTATGAGGAGAGGCAAGTGGAGACAGGTGAAAGCACACAGGAATGAAGGGAAGTGGGATGTGGAAGCTGCAAATGATTCAGGAGGAAACAGTGCAATTCAGCAGATGCTAAGAGGATAAGAGTGATGTTTAGGAGAACAGAGACATGAGGGGAATGGAGATTTTAAATTTTATTTTATTTGGTTTGGTTTCTACTGACTAAGATATTTGGATGAGCCTTGAGAACTCGGTGAAATGCAGATTCTGTTTGGAATTGTAGTGTATGCAGTGGACCTCACTCTGTGGCACAACCTCTGTTCTGGGTTAGAGTATTCAGCCAGCAGATCACTGAAACATGAGCTGAGAGGCCTCAGTAAAATCCCAGAGAGTCACCAATGCTGATATTCCTGTATGCTGCAAAGTAAGATATTTCCTGGACAAACACTTCTCCTTGAGAAAGGGTCTGGAAATTCCCAGTCGGTGCTATACAGTAATATGGGGCAAATGATAATTTTTAAGGGGTGAAAGGGCAGGTTGCTACTGACATGTATCCTGAGTCTGGTTTGAAGAAAGAAATTTTTTACTGGGCTTCCAACACCCAAAACTGAGTGAGCACAGATAAGGTGAAGTTTAAGCAGTGCCTATTATTTTGCAAAACTCTGTAACTCCTTGTTGCTGTCTTAAGAATAAATATTATTATGGTTTTAAAAAAAAATCCATTAAAATTCAAGTCTTAGCTTTTTTTCTTAGTTTCATCACATTAATGTATGCTTTGCCTTTAAATCAAATGTGGTGGTTCCTGTACCCTCATCTTCATTACTCCCCTTTCCTCTGCTCCACTCCTTACTATCATTTTCCTGGTTGAAGACTATTATTTATATTTATTTAATTTTAACAAATATTTTTAGTTTTGACCTCATCTTCTTTACAGCCACTTTCTCCTTCCTGGTACAGTTGCTTACTTACATGAAAAACTTCCTTTTCTTTTAAAAATCCATATTCCAAATTGATGTTACATTATATCTACAAACATCTGAAGAATGTTTTATCCTTATCCTTCACTTTTGTGGCTCTTCATCCACGTAGCTACAGAGGGATTTTTGCTTCTTTACTTAGGATGCACGTTCCAGAAACACTGTGCATTCCTCTCAAAAATTCTGGGCATCTTTCACATACAGATTCCTTACCTCAGAAATTCTGGGCATCCTTCATATACAGTTTCCTTCATTGCTACAGCCCATGCTAAAGGGTCTTAATTCCTTGGGGTTTAACTTCTTTTGAAACAGAACATGCATATGCAGTGTAGGCCTATTCTTATTTAGCTTCCCACTGAATTTATATGTGAGGAAATTATGATCACACGCTCCGAATTTATTTTTGATGACCACCTGCTCTATGACTTAATTGCTATTTACAACTAACAAAGCTTTTGTAGGTTCAGTGATGGTTTTGCGAAGGAATTTGTCATGTCATGTTGAGAATTATAGGCCTGAGGCCCATTCTGATCATGAGAGATGACCACGATGTTCATAACTCTGAAGTTAGTTTCTCCATGGCAGCATAGTTCTTGCTGGGGTTTAGCACTTTTAACATTAGTGCACTCTCTGCATATCCAGGTATGAACTTGAGCAGTTCGTGGCTGACACTGAGCTGCACCGGAGAAAAGCCTCTTTTAACTTTCTGAGTTTTATCTAAGCAAGCTGTAATATCATTCATGTGAGACTAATGCACTGTTTTTATTTTCCTTTCTATCAGCTCTGATTATTAAATCAGGATTTTTAATACCAAGGATGACTGTTATTCACCATATTCTTGGTACTTGCATGATATCTAGTTTACACTGCTTATTTCCTATTAGTATCTGGAAGGTAGTTACAAAGACAGTGGAGCCAAAGTTTTCACAGTAGTAGTAGTAGGTGATATAACAAGGGGCAATGGCAACAAGTTGAAGTTTGGTAGGTTCAGATTGAACTTCAGGAATTACTTTTTTACCAGAAGAGAAGAAAAGCAGCACTGGAACAGGTCCTCAGAGAGGTGGCAGTATCTCCACCCTTGGAAGGTTTCCAGACTTGGTTGGACAAAATCATGGATCAGAGATCTCTGGAGGTCTCCTCCCACCATCACTTCTCTGATTCCACAGCATCACCTGAGATTCCCTGTAGTATACAGGCATTTGCCACTCTGGCCTCACCTGCTGAACTAGATTGTCCTTTCGCTGACAGCATTGTCTGCTGCTGCTTTTCTCATCACAATGAGTATATTGTTTCCCCTTGTTGTCTAAGCCTCTGCTCATTGGTGCCTCCTTATCTGTCATCACGTAGTTATTTAACTGGTTTTCATCTCCCTGAGTAGAAAAACAGATGCATAGCCCTTTCCCAGCCGCTGTAGCACCACTGAATGGCTCTCTTGAACATGACATATACATGGTAAAGCTATAGTTATTAGCTAGCTCAGTAAGCTGCACAACTTTTTACCAGAGCTCTTCCTTATAGCCAGACTGATCCAGCATACAATGGATTGCAGCTCTGGAGACTGTAAGAGAGTCGCAGCTTTAATAGGCATCTGGCAGGATTTGATTGCAGAGAACTGTCAAGAGTGGCTTACAGCCCTGCAAAATGAAGTGCATCACAACTGCTGTGTCGGAGCCTCTCTGCAGGCAGCAAACCACAACTCATTTCAAAGCCTCAGCACAGGCTGCAGACCTGCCCCAGCCCTCAGTACACACAGCTAATGGGCAAACCTGCTGCTGAAATGCAGTTTGGGCTCTACTGGAGCACGTAGATAAACAAGTCAGAAAGGAGCCTTCCCGTCGCAGACACACCTGATGCATTTGCCTGAGTTGCACAGACACTTATGCTCTGGTTCATTGGTTGACATGAGTATGTGGGTGCCCTCTGAGAGCATGGATTATGCCAGATGAAGGGCCAGGAGAACAGAGATGAGTGCATCTCAGACTGAAAGGGAAGGCAAGGACTTACAGGGTGTGCTGTTAGGTGTGTGATCTTACCCTGGAATGGCAGTGGGAGAGCTAGTCAGAGCAGCTGGCCATGTCTGACAGCTCAGGACTCCTAAGCATAACTTCTGCTGGAAGAATTAATATTCCTTGTGAGGCTTTTCCAAGAAGGACTGACGTGGTGAGTGAGGATGGGACTGGGATGCAAGGGGTAAGTCTGTATCAAGAACCCACGTCTGGCCAGCACAAGCCAGATGTCAGGAGGTTGTACTGGGAGAGCTGTGGCTGGGGGTTATCGTGGTTTCCTGCATCTGTGTGTACATGATTTTAGCTGGCCACAGCAAGGGTGAGTTGTGTTACTGTGAGGAGAGGAAACAGACCAGCAGAGAAGCAACCATTTTCTCTGCATGCGTTTGAAAGACAGGAAAAAGGCAGTAGTTAAAA